AGWKKTKTYWYAKAGTGTCAAAAGACTTGCTCATGGCTCACTTGGGGCAATAAAATTAGGGCAATACATTGAAAAACAAGATATGATAAAGGAACTTTAACATGGAAATATGATTATCTCCTCATACATCTTTGSGTTTTCAACTTTACTAGAACCAACATATCATTCTAACTATTGTGGTCTATATCCTATGGTAAAAAGGGCACTTCCCCCATTGGAAAAGTATTTTTTTGAACTGTTTGATTTCCATGTACCATATCTTTATACTAAAATCCATCAAAACAACATAAGAAAATTTCTAGTTTAAAAAGTTGTGGCAGGAAAATCCAACACTAAGAAGGATAAACAATGCTTCTTGACTCAAGAATGAGCAGAAGAATGTTTCTTAGATTTTGATCCCTCCTCCACATGAGTATGTAGCATCACAAGAACCGCCAACAGTAATAGAAAAGTTATGCTGAGGCCTCTCGAGGAAGGCGGGCAAGCGGGATAGCAGCCCGCATACGCATACACTATCCAACTGCTGCACCCACTTGCAACAATTCTCCTCCATTGGTGACATCGNGATGATCCATCGTGTACTTCATATCATCAATTAAATCATGTATAATAGGCATAGTGAAGACGACTTCTAAATCGATAGTTCACAGAACTCTGTAGCTGTCTCTTATACACATCTGGGGGCGGATGCTGGGCTGAGGGCATTGGGTTTCATGGTTATCAAAGAGTGATGGTGGTGAAGGCGGAGTTGGCAGCACTGGGGTGTAAGGCAGCATTCCGCAGGCATAGTTTACTAGCGCTATCTGGGAGGCGCAGAGCGGAGGGGGAGCAACCTCTGGCACCTCTGGCGGCTGCCATTGACTCTCTGTGTTGGTAACCAGCACCAAGAACAGCGCTAATACCAGTACGAGGATCCCGGACCTCGCCATTCAAGCAGCCTATCTAGCTTTTCCTTGTCAAAGCAAGAACACAGGTACCTGGGAAGGCTTTCTAGCTGTAGCAGACTGATACCCATTGTATTTATACAGTACAGAATTCATAAGATCACAGGGTCAGTGTTTGTTTTGCATTTTTTTTCTCTTGTGGGAGTGAAGCCAGTTACCAACAGATCAGGTTTTAGGTTTTGTTTGGTTGGTRTTTTGTTATGGCCTCATTCATTTTGAGACCAGTTTGGTAGGTGGCACACGAGAATTGAAATAAATCCCATGGATGTGTGAATAACCTTCATCAAAATCTTGTTGAGTTCATTCCTGCAAGCAAAATATTGAACTCTTAGAGGAAAGAAAGTAGTTATTTTTTAGCTTCAAAGAGTAAATGAAGCAGTCAAGCATATAAAAACTGATCTCTATTTCGAGGGGTTACAAATCCAGTTTAAGAAATTTTCTATTAGTAATCAGATGAGAAGATTTTCCATCCACGGAAAACCGAAAACTTAAACCTTTTTTCCTTGCATCACTTGTAACATGAACAATATAAAACCAGAAAATGAATGTGTTCAGTCATTTGCTTTGCATTTAATGATTAAATGTTTACTTGAAGTGTCGACCTCATAGAAACACACTATGGCCATAATTTTCCTGGCAACATGCTAAATATGTGGAAAAAGTGGTGGATGATCCATCGTGTACTTCATATCATCAATTAAATCATGTATAATAGGCATAGTGAAGACGACTTCTAAATCGATAGTTCACAGAACTCTGTAGATCGGCTAGAATATAGATACCATGGTCTAYACTACATCCCAGAATGGTTTAGGGTGCAAGATTCGACCTGGAGCAGTATGGCTCAATGAATTGTTGAGGCTCATAGTTATAATTTGGGAGCAATTGTAGCAGATGTGAGTAAAACCCAGGTAGATTTCTCCTCTTCCAAAGAGCTCGAAGCCATTTCTGAAGGTAGTTTGAGAGTACAACACATTTCTGATGTTGGGTATGAGGTGAATAAATAGGGGCTACAGAATTTCAAAGTTCGTTATGCTAGGCCATTCACATCCTACTTGCCTGAAGGCTAATTTGAACATTCCACTTCTGGACTACTTAGAATGGGAAGAATTGCCTGAAAGAAAATATTAGTGATTTCCTCAAGACTGGCTCCAGTAATCAAGAAGTTATACCATCATGAACTAATGAAATGGAGATGTGCATTTCATCTTGGAGTGCTCATGAAGAAACCCAGGAAAGTTTCAATTTTTGCACTCCTTATTGGCCGAGGATCCATTGGCAAAAGGTGTTTCTGAGAGATTGATTGATGATTCCATTGTTGAACAACATCTTGGAATTATTCTCATTCAGAAATGATCGGGAAAGGGACAGATCATCAATTATGCCCATGAATGTAAATGGTGGTTATTCTTTTTTTTTATATGAAACGAGTATTTCATCGATAGTATGAAATATAAAAAAGGTCACAACGAAAATTATAAAAACACCTTCCAATTTAAGATAAGGTCGTTTAGAGTGTAACAATTGAAGAGGGAGTGGAAGCTCTTACACCAACCAAGAGCTAAAACAGTAACTCTATCAAAAAAAAAAATCAAAAGGAAGAGATTTGTCGTTAAAGACTCGGTTGTTCCTCTCTAACCATAAACTCCAAAGAAAGGCTCTGATGAAGAGTGTCCAAAGAGTTGCGCAGTGCTTAGTGAAAGGGTGACCCACCAAAAGACAATCTAGGAAAATGGATGGCTTGTTGTGGAGTGTTGTTTCCCATCCAAAAGTAGATAGAAGGATCCCCCAGAAATTTGTAGCAAAACTGCAGCTGATAAAAAGGTGTTCCGGAGATTCTGATGCCTTGTAATAGAGATGAAAGCAGTTTGGGGAGAGCATGATGTGAGGCATYCTTTTCTGAATCCGATTGAATGTATTCAAAGCCCTGTGGCTTAGTTCCCAGCAGAAGAACTTCACCTTCTTGGGGCAATTACCTTGCCAAAGGGATGGGTAGAGGGCGGGCGTGCCTTTGCAAGTGGTCAGATGCTTGAAAACAGAGCTGGTGGTGAATGACTTGCTCAGTTCCAGTGTCCAAGTCCACAAATCTTCTCGYGGAGAAGGGGGAAAAAGCTTTAAGGATCTGTGAAAGTATCAACCAACCATCGATTTCATCATCTTTTAGTGGTCTGCGGAAGCTGTAATCCCAAGAAGAGGAAGTCTTAGACCAAAGATCGATGATTCTAGCATCCTTATTAGTGGTGATAGTGTAGAGTCTCRGGTAGAGATTGTTGAGTGTCCCTTGAGGAAGCCATCTATCCTTCCAAAATAAGCAGTGGCTGTTTTCCCCTACCTTGCATAGAGCAAAGTCTTTTATGAGATGTGAATGATTAAGGATAGAAGACCAAGGACCTTTGTGTCTAGTATTACTAGAGAAGGTCCAGGTATTAGATGAAGTTCTCATGTATTTAACTGCTATTAGTGTCCTCCATAGATGATGTTTTTCACTGATAAACTGCCAAATCCACTTGGAGAGGAGAGCAGTATTCTTATGCTTGATGTTACCCACTCCCAAACCACCCTCTTTTAAGGGCAATTGAACTTGCTTCCAGTTAACAAGATGGGGCTTACCATTGTTGGATGAGCCTTCCCATAAGAAGTCCCGAAAAAGCTTGCAGATCTGATCTTCGGCTTTCCTTGGTAAACTGAAAAGGGATAAATAGTAAGTAGGAAGGTTGGATAGGACTGATGGCAGAATGGTATGTCTCCCACCTTTGGAGATATAAAGGTTGCTCCATCTGCTCAATCAGTTCTGTATCTTTTCAATGATAGGGCGCCAAAAGGTATCCTTTTTAGGATTACCATTCAAAGGGAGACCCAAGTATGTGCAAGGCCATGCTTCGGATTTGCAGCCCCAAGCTGTAGCAATGAGAGAAGTAATCTGTGGATCAATGGAGACACCGTGGACACTGGACTTGTTGTAGTTTATGTTGAGGCTCGAGGCAATCTCAAAAGATTTGATGATTTTATGGAGATTTATAATCTTGGTGGGGTCCTTGCTCGTAAAAAGGATAGTATCATCTGAAAATAGGAGATGGTTAATCTTAATTRAACCACATTTAGAGGCGTATCCTTTAATCCGACCTTTGTTCTCTCCAAAAGTGAGCAAGCAGCTTAGGACATCAGTGACCATAATGAAGAGAAAAGGGGAAAGGGGATCCCCTTGTCTTAGGCCTCTGGTTGCTGTGAACTTGCCCCTAGGCTTGCCATTGATTATGATGGAGAAGCTCGTTGTGGAGATACATGCACGGTTCTCCATTTTGTCCCAAAGCCTTTGTGTAGCATCACAGTGTCTAGGAAGTCCCAATCAACCATATCAAAGGCTTTTCAAGGTCTAGTTTAATCACAGCACCTTCGAAATTCTGGGTTTTCCATTCATCCACGATCTTGTTGGCAATGAGAGAGGAGTCAAGAACCTGTTGTCCCTCAACAAAGGCTGATTGGTACTCTGTAATCGTGCTAGGCAGCACCTTCTTGAGCCTTTCGGAGAGGACTTGAGCAATCACTTTGCACATGGAATAAGGCTGATAGGGTGAAAGTCATGGACCGTCTTAGCACCTTTTTTCTTAGGGATCAGGGAGATGTAGATCTCGTTAAGGGCAGCATTGATGACACCATTTTTGAAAAAATCTTGGAAAAAGACTAGAATGTCGGACTTGATGATGTTCCAAGATCTTTTGAAAAATTTCGCAGTGAAACCGTCCGGTCCCGGGGCTTTGTCGGATCCAAGGGAGAAGACAGCCTTGCATATTTCTTCCTCTGTGAGTTCTTGTTCTAACATGTCTCTATGTTCAATGGAGATCGAGTCCCATGGTAAATTGGATGGACAACACCTGTAACCTTCCTTTCTAGAATAGAGAGAAGTGTAGAAATCAATGAACTCATATTCAATGTCATTGATGTGAGTGAGGCTAATGCCTGCCCTGGAAAGAATTTCAGAAATGGTACTTCTTCTCCTTTTGTTGTCTAGAAATCTATGAAATAACTTTGTGTTTTAATCCACTTCCTTCAACCATAACTGTTTGCACCGTTGACRCCAAAATATCTCCTCTTGTGCAACAAGTGCAAGGAGGTCCACGGTTGCAGATTGTTGGAATGATGAGCAACTCGCCTGGGATCTTGGCCTAAGGAGGGGTCTTTTTGACAGAGAGGTAGGAGGATGGGCAGATATTATGAGTAGATTAGATACTACTCAGATAGGAGAAGGTGCTGATAAAGTGGGCTGGTTTCTAGACCCCTCTGGTGCTTACACGGTGAAATCAGGCTTAAAAATTCTGKTTGAAGACACTCCACATTTGAGTCCGTCTGTTACCTCTCTTCTTTGGAAATACTCTGTCCCTAAGAAAGTAAAAGTCCTCCTTTGGACTCTAGCAAACAGGGCGGTTAACACAGCAGACAGA